GAACACAGTACTCCAGGTGCGGCCTCACCAGTGCCAAGTACAGGGGCACGATCCCCTGTCTACTCCCACTGGCCACACTATTCCTAATACAAGCCAGGACGCCACTGGCCTTCTTGGCCACCTGGGCACACTGCTGGCTCCTGTTCAGCCGGCTGTCGACCAACACTCCCAGGTCCTTTTCCATCGGGCAGCTTTCCAGCCACTCTTCCCCAAGCCTGTAGCATTGCATGGGGTTGTTGTGACCCAAGTGCAGGACCCGGTACTTGGCCTTGTTGAATCTCATGCAGCTGGCTTCGGCCCATCGATGCAGCCTGTCCAGATCCCTCTGCAGAGCCCTCCTACCCTCAAGCAGATCGACACTCCCGCCCAGCTTGGTGTCATCTGCAAACTTACTGAGGGAGCGCTCAATCCCCTCATCCAGATCATTGATAAAGTTGTTTAACAAGACTATTAATCAAGACTATGCCTGAGGTGGCATGTAGGAACAGTGAAGTTTTCACCTGAGAAAGCCGGTGGCACCATACTTCAAACACATGAAATCCAGAAGCCGCCATGGCAGAGCATAAAATGCGTGCCGAAGTCTCATCAACAAAGACTTGGAGCACCTACTGCAGGAAAAAGGAAAAAAAAGAAAAGGAGCCAAAAAGGAGGGAAGCGCAATATTTAATGAAGAAAAAATAAACATGCGTGTAGATTTTTTTTTTTATGAAGAGTGTAATTTCCCTTTAGCAATAATGTTCTGCTGGACGTTTAAGGTGTGTGTGATTTGTTGGAAGTTGGCACTCGGTTTTCTAGTTTTTCCACAGCACTTCGCTATGAGCACTACCGAGATGTTACTTACAAACGCTGTACTCACACGCCTCAGGTACGTAACGTTCGGCGCACCGCAGTAGAGTTGGTGTTTACGTTTGAGAGGGCACAGCCTACACATGAAAAGCACGGAATGGGAAGTTAAAAGCTGAAAAAGCAGTCGAGGAATATGGCATCACCTTAAATTAAAATTTTATTGCTTTGGTACCGGTTCCATGATTTTGAGGGCTGAATTATTCACTTTTAAACGACGCTAGTAGGGATAATAACTGTAATCTCAGCAAAAGCGGCCGCC